GCAGCGTGCCATCCTCAAGTACTGTAGTAGCACTTGGAGCTGTCTGTTGTGCCCTCATGGCCCAGCCGCCTTTTCACTTTCGCGTCAGGAGAGCATGACCCCACCTAGAGCCTCACGCATTTACCTTGGATAAACTCGTCACTTGTTGTCACTTGTTCGCAAAGGCCACTTGAAAAGTTCGAGCTCCATTTGGCCAGTCAACTCAGCTGCGGAGCTTTTCTGGTGCCGATTTTCTGGTTCAGTTAGCATGCGCCGCTGATTGCCAGCTATGCAAAAAGTTGGGCAAGATGATTGCCACCAGCACACCTTCACAGGCGGATCGATTCGAACAAATGACCGATGTTGCCACCCCCAAAATTCCAAGATAGACGAATGCAAGCGGGGCCGAAGGAAACATATGATGGGCTTTCAAGGGATTTGTGCTCAGAATTCCGCACTGGCGTTTCTCTCAAAACGGTGGACCAAAGGTTTTGAGGACGTGTGGCCGCTCTTTCGGATCTCTTGTCCGGCTCCGTGGTCCTTGGCTGAAACCATCCAGGCCGTTTCGGCCCTTTCGGATGTGAAGTCCCGACCTTCCATCACGGGTTTACTTGTTGACCCCCCACCCTGCGCTTTTGGAAAGCAAAGAAACCCCTTCAAAGAGGGAAATGTCAAAAGGTCCATGTCTGGTGGTAAGTTAGCGTTGAGTTCAACATTCCCAAAAGGAAACCCCCGCCCGTTGTTTGGAAGCCAACATTTGATGGATGTTTGTAGTTAACATGGAACCTGACTGGGGGCCCCTTTCAAACATAAAATGAACATGATCTCCAACCCCCCCAACGTAGTTCCACGTGAATTGGTTCTTTTTGGGCCACTGGGGTCTCCCACCCGTCCAAATCACCCGGGAATCCCCGAGAGATTCCGAGCGATGCTCGCTCCAGGTGATGCTCACCATCCGCCCGGGGGAGCACGGCAGCACCTACGGCGGCAACCCCTTGGCCTGCAAGGTGGCCACCGCCGCGCTGGAGGCGATCCGCTTTTGTACCACCCCAATGGAATTGCTGGCTTGTTGGAGCTAGGGGTGGGGCTTCAAGGGGCCGTCATTCCCACCCCCTGAAAAATGGGAATTGGGCGAGGGGGGGTACCCCTTAAATTCTTCCATTCTCCCTTTATTGGGGAAGACTAGATCAGTGGAATTGGGGGATCCCCGACCCCCTCCACCTTAAGGTAGGTCCGCTTTCTCACCCCGTGGTGGGAGTGGGGGTGGGGGGGCTGGGGGTGGGGGGGCTGGGGGTGGGGTGGGGGTGGGGGTGGGGGTTGGGGTGGGGGTGGGGGTGGGGTGGGGGTGGGGGAGGGTTCCCCTACTAAAATAGACTACAGAAGAAAGTTGGCACCCTTATTGCAACCTCATACAGAAAAACGTCGAGGAAAACTCCGAGAAGTCGCGGTGGGTGAAAATGAGGCACCAGGAATTGGACCGCAGGGTTTTAAATCGTCCATTCCAGAAACCCAGGGGTCCATACCTGAGTCACTTGCTCAAAACCTTGCTCAAAAACCTAAGTGGAGGGTAGAGACAATAAATGGGTGTGGATCTCCGCCGGTTCAATTCTGTTGATGGTGCTGATGTTCATTGTGACTCTGTGCCTTGCCTCCCAAGCTTGGTGCCCTAGAAAACCTTCTGTTGAATAGATGCTGCGGCACAGCCCTTGCCCTCAACGCCCAAAATACTCCCCTGAAATTCAACCAGTGATTACCTTTGGGCGCTGGGGGCAGGTGGCACTCTGTCAAGGTGTTGCAGGCTTAGTACATCCTGAGATGTATTCCAGGTGTGTATTGGGGCTATGCCCTCTGGGGGGGGGGGAGGGTCTTGTTTTCCAGGGCCCAGGAGGGTCTTGTTTTCCAGGGCCCACCCCTCCCTACCCCCCCCCCCCCCGGCCAGAGGTTTTTCCCCATTTGCACCCTCCAACTTCCGGCGACGCAAGCCGAAACCGCCGCATTCCCCGCGCGCCGAGCCGCACCGAGGTGCTGCGGGACGAGAAGCTCACGGAGAACTCCGCGCTGCGGGGCCAGCAGCTCCGGGAGGCGCTTCGCGGCTTCGCGGCGGCCGGCGGGTTTCTGAAGCCGTGAGTCGGCGGTTTTTGGGGAGCCCTTTCTGGACTTCCCCAGAATTAGCTCCCCTTTTTGCCTTTTTTTTTTTTTGGGGGGGGGGGGGGGCGGGGGTTCCCTTTGTTTTCCACTAACCAGGCAAAAGAAAGATTGTTTTTGCTGCGGTCATAATTCCAGCATATTCCAGCCAAGTGGTTAAGGAGGCAACCCGCTCTTTGGGGGTGGGGGGGGCTGACGGTCAAACCACCATGAAATAGGGTTTAGGGTGTAGGGATTAGGGCGTAGGGGTAGGGTGCAGGGTGTAGGGTTGAAAAACACTTGGCGGGGTTCACATGGTTTTGTAACCACCAATTGTTTATCAAAACCATGGGTGGGTTCGGGGGAAACAAAAAAACCTAATAAGTCATCTAAATTGGGGCTGTGCTATTCTTTTTGTGGGGGTTGAGAATCAGCCGGTTGTATTACGGGGGGGGACGCCCCCCTATGAATCAACCAGAGGTTGACTAATCCGGGCTTAACATTACAGAGGTGCTCCGAGCCTAAGATGATCAAGCCCACAAATGTGGAAAATTAGAAATTGTCTTTTTGCTTTCCGACTAGTTTCTTAGTTTTGTGATTGAATTTACATGAGCAAGGGTCAATATTCTTGGTGGTTCCAGCCATCTGGAACAGGCTTTTTTTTTTCCTAGGTCCCCCCAGTAGTGCCTTTTTACCCTTTTTTTCGGGGGAGGGTTCCCCTACTAAAATAGACTACGGAAAAAGGTTGGAACCCTTATTCTAACCTCTCTACTGGAGGACCTAGTTTTGCTCTTTTTTGGCTTCTTTGGGGTTCCATGAAGCGAGTCTCGCCTTCAGGGCCTGCAGAAGTTGGCGGACAAGGAGGGCTCCCCCATCCAGCTGGTCAGGGGCCGGGGGCTGCTGAACGCCATCGTCATTGGCTCGGACAAGGGCGGCTACGGCGACGAGGGCAAGGCACGCTGATAGGAGAACGACCCCCATGGGAAGGGGGTCAAGAGCAAGGGAAGTTCCCATTGTTGAGGTTTCAGGGTCAGTTTGCAGCAGAAAATGATCCTTGCTTTCTGCCTATCTTGTGGCGAGCTCATCGATTCAGGCTGACAAACACGAGTACGAGCTTACTAAAAATGTCAGGTAACTCGCGGACCATCTCAGGCGGGCGAAGTTATCTCCACTTGGCCCCCAGCCGCAGTATGATTGAAGTAGCGAAACATACAAGTGGTTGGTGGACATAAACCCCCTCCCAAATGTGTCCGCAGGGCCCCCTAATTCAGATTCCCACCTGAAACAGCCTGCCTAATTAGGCCTGGGAGCTGTGTGAGAAGATGGCGGGCAACGGTTTGCTGGCAAAGCCCACCCACGGCACCATCATTCGCCTGGCCCCGCCCTTGTGCATCACCAAGGAGGAGGTGGATGAGACTTGGAACTCCCGACCACCCAAAAAAAATCCACGGGCTTTCCCTGTTTGGTTTGTTTTTTGAGTAACTCACTTGCCCAAAGCCGACCTACCTTTTGCCTTTTCTGGTGTGCTCCATGCTTATGGGTCCAGAAGGCGAACCTTTTGTTTGTGGGTCCTGTTGGTTTTTTGAGTAAAGGTAAGACCGCCCACCGACAGGGAACCCACCGAAAGAGTGGGGGACGCAGTGGAGCGGTTTTCCAGTGAACTCTGCATTGTAGTGGGGAGCATGTGTGTGTGTGTGTGTGTTGTATCGTTTTCTCGTTGATTGTGTTGGGTTTGTTCTATTGTATTTTGTTTCCATCAACACACGTAAGGTTTCCTTGGGTTGGCCATAAGAAGTCTACTCATCAGAGTTGTTTTGATCACCTATGGAGGGTGCGCCAGGATAAGTTACTCTTTTACCCCCTCCCGTGTCAGATATTGCATGCCACCAGTTTGCATAGGAACTAGAGCACCCACCCCCCGATCCAGCAAGCTGGGGTTGCGTCTTGGTCACAGAGACTTCGCTTGCCATGTAGATCATGTGCCTCCCAAGGAAGAAGTTTGAGGCGGTTGGCAGGGGGCATCTCCCAAATCTTGTAGCTCCGACTAAAATGATGCTACAGAAGTGATTGAGCCTTGGCCAGGTCACGCCAAGTTCCCCGGGTCAAAGGAAACCAAGGGCACCCTCAATTTGGGGGGGGTTTGCCAAAGGAAGCCACAGTTGCCGCTGAGGAGTGTGTGGAGATCATCGGCCGGAGCCTGGAAGGCCTTTGAGAAGGAACAGCTCGAGAGCTGCCTTCCTTTTGATGAAAGGCAGTAGCGCCATAGGTGTCCTGTCAGGTCAATTGAGCTCGACGCAAAAATGGGTTCCACTGGCCTCCGTTGGGTTCCAGTCGATCCATTTGTCCAGCAGGTCACCTAGGGCTAGGGCCTTGCTTGGCTGGTCAGGGGGAAAGCGCTAAATGGTTCCTGCCCCCTACTGGTGAGGGCTTAGGGGGCGAGCAACCACTTAGCCAACTCCCGAACTACTGAGTGGGTTCGAATTTTGCGCGCCTGGGCAAATGTCCTAGGCCTTTCTCACCTGGCATTTTGGCCATGGTAAGCCGAGCAAAAGATCGAAGCTGCAAGTTTGGGCCGTGTCAAGGCCCAGCAATCCCAGCACCCAAAATGTTTTGGAGGCATCCAACAAAAATGGGGCCGTTGCGCAACCGCAGAGCTAGAGAGAGAAAGAGAGAGAGAGAGAGAGAGAGGGAGAGAGACCTCGCTCATCCGTTCCATGTCAGGAGACGTCCAGCAAAAGGCACTTTTTCCAGGGATCCTTACATTGTACACCTGAACATTGCCTTGTAAATTGTGGTTTCCCTTTATTTTGGTGTTGAAAAAAAAGCCATGTTTCAAGTCGTTGCAAAATGCATCTTTTAAGGAGCCCTGTTTTCCCAATGCCAAATCGTTTGAACAGGTCAGAGTTCCTGGAGAACTACGCCGCCAGCATTGGAAGGAGCTGCCGCCTCGGTCCGAGGCATTGGCCGACAGGGAAGCCCTGAACAGGGCTCCTTAAAAGATAAAAATGTTGCAAGCACTTAAACCATGGCTTTTTCAACAAAAATGAAGATAAACCACCATTTACAAGGTAATGTTCAGGTGTATAATGCAAGGATGTTTGGTGAAAGCGGCTCTTGGAAGTGGCCGCGCTGTACAAGAATTCATAGAAAAAATGAGATGGTTGGCTCAAAGGTAAAAGAATGGGCCATTTGGAGCTTCCAAAGCGAAATTTTCGAGCCGCCCCACCGGGTACCCTGAAAAAAGACGCCAAGGAGGCGCCAGGGCGGCACCGGAGGGTCATTGACCCATAGGGATCCTAGGCGAAGAAAAGCCAAGCATGAATTGACTGCGGCAGACTTGGTTTTTGAAACGACGTCACTCCTCACATGCTGCTTGGGGACGTATTGAGCCCTGCCAGCTTATTCAAAAGCAAAAGGCCCGTTCCTGGCGCTGCAGATGAGCCATAACCGATCATATGAACAAAAACTGTTGCTCACCCTGCGGTGTGGCGGCTTTGTTGCTGAAACCGCCCATTGGGATGTGAACTTTCGGGAGGCATGCTCTAAATAAATGATCTCAGTTGTGCAAAGCCAACCTTTTAGTTTCCCTTTCTGGTCTATTTTTAGTAGAAGGCTCAAAAGGTTCACCTTTCATTAGGTCCTTTGGGCAAGCGAGTGAGACTTGTGGAGCTCCAGCGAGAGAGGAAGGCCGGGCAAACAGCAGGAACCTGCCTGGGCTGGCAAGAGTAAAGCAAGGCCTCGTGGAGCTTGCACCCCGTAATTATTGCGGTGTTTCCCAGCTGCCCAGTGGCGTGCTTCCTTTTTCCAACTTGTTTTTTGGGGAAGGGTTCCCCTTGAAAGTCCAGCAACGAAAAAAGGTGCCCTTTTTTCCCATGGCCACTGGGCACCTGAGGCTTGCAAGGGGGTGCATACGGCTGCGTGTTGGAGCTAGGGGCGGGGCTTCAAGGGGCTGTCCGCTTCCACTAGGCCTTGCAATTGGCCTAGCCACTTAGCCACTATTGATCCATAAACCACGCAAAGAAGCAGCGCCAACATCGAGACCCATCAGAAAGTCGAGGCTGTTTGGGATGCGATATAATTAAAAAGAGATGTTTTAAACGAGGCGTATATTTCGATGTTTAGTCGCACGCATCCCCAGTCAAGGTCTTCTTTTGGAAAGCGATCATAAGAAGGCCATCGCTTCAGATGCTTGCCCCCGAAGCCAAGTCTTGAGGAGGCCACCATCGAGAAGATGATTTTTTCTGGGCTTCTTGTCAAGCTGGGTTTCTGGCTTGCTGTTGCCTCCATCCACGGCATGATTGGTTGCGCTGCCTTTTTGAAGATATCCTTTTTGGATGTGTTTTAAAGGGAGGCTAAAGGGAAACCACGAGTTCCTTTTCCTGAGAATACCCCATGTGTTAAATCAAAGCCTCTTGTGGATTTTTCTCGGTCTTCACTTTTGTGAGCAAATGGACCTCACAGCGTTGAGCCTCACTATCGTGGCGGCTGGTGGGGCTCTGAGGCACTGGTTGCCCCTTGCTGCGGCCGTGGCCCAAAGGAACCAAAACGGTTCAGGGCGCGGATGGCGCAATGGGGCACCACAGGTTTTACCAGGGTTTCTTTTTGGGGGTACCTATTTTTGAGCCACAACCATGTGGATGAATTGCTCCCAAGCCAAACATCAAGCAATGTCTTTGTGAAAATGGAAAGAAAGATCAAGCACGAACTGACTCTGGCGGCTAGCCGGCGTGCCTCGAAACCAAATGCGGCGCACACACGCACACACGCACGCACACACACACACGCACCCCCGCAAGCACGCACGCGTGCATGCATGTGTGATGCATGCGCGATCGCGTGAGCGGGTTTGCGCATCTTGGGCTTCACTAGGTGAACCCTTGAAAGATTCCGCCACCAGACACCCGACCTACCCCCATAACGGTAAACCATGAGGTTCAAGATCTAAATAAGTCCTAAATGGCCATGAATGTTGATTGAACAAGTTGGTGGAATCCCCACCGATGTTTGATGTCCACCAAGGGGTTAGAACTGATGAATGAGGCTTAGGCGTGGTGTTTTCCACATATGTTCGCTTCGGCCTGGTCCAGTCTGGAAAAAGTCTTTGTGCGAAAACGGGGACTCGCAGGTTACAACCTGGTGCCTTACATTTATGCATATTTACATTGGGGTGATTTAAACATCACCGTAGCAATCTGATTTCTTGTTTTCTTTGGTGGGGTGATCTTTGAAGGGGGCATGTAAGGCCCGCCAACTGTTCTGCGCTCGAGGGAGCAGACATTTGAGGCCAGGCAAAGGGCAGAAAGTCTTGCCCACAATACCTCGAGGACAGCTGCGCGGCCTTGCAAGCAGAGAGAGAGAGAGAGAGAAAGAGATTGACCAACAGAAGCAGTGCAGAAGTGAATGGTGGGTGAAGGAAGCAAGGAAGGGCAGAAAGGAAGCAAGGAAGGGGACGTTCGTGTCCCACTACGTATTTGGGATCAGGGATCCCCAAACTTTGAAGAATGTAGGAGGTGGGGCGGATTCCCAACAAGAAGTCCTTTCCCAGACATACTTCCTTTTCGGAATGAAAACAGAATTAGAAGAGGGAGGGCCGCTTCTCTCTGTCCCATTGCGGGGGTGGGGGGTGGGGGGGTGGATTCTAGTGCACCAGCATGCCAGGACTCCTTTTTCCTGTTTTATCCTTTTTGGTGGGTTCCCCACTAATTAAAATGGCGAAACACTACCGAACGGGTCACTGGACTGGACAGCTAGGCTCAAAAGAGTCAGTTGTTTGTGCATGTCACATGTTGCAAAAGTGACTAGCATGAAGCAACGAATCAAACAATATGGCAATCTAACGGTGAAAGCGACTCAAAGTGGCTAAGTGCCTAGATACATGAGAGGTCACGCACGTTGACCCAAACACATGTTGATGTGGGCTTGTCTTCAGCTAGGCCAACCCAACAAAAAGTGTTTGGAGTGCTGTGAGTTTCTCTTTAAGACCACCGCGAAAAGGGTCAACCGCAGCCCAAAAAAGGCAATCTAGGTCCCCCAGTAGTGCCCTTTTTGCCTTTTTTCTTTCTGGAAGGGTTCCCCTACCAAAATAGACTACAGAAAAACATGGCGCCCTTGTTCTAACCTCTCTACTGGAGGACCTAGTAATTCCCCTTCGCCTCACAGCCACTCCATGTCCAGGAGCGCGAGGGAAGCCGTTGACCTCCGTAGACTTCCAGCTCACAGGATCTCCGTGGGGAGAGGGGTAAAAGTTGGAAGCCAGCGCATTGCCAGACCAAAGGTTTGCTTTGCTTTGTGTTCTTACTTGTTGGTGTTTTTCCTTTTGGGTGTTCCAAAACATCATTTTACTATACTAGCAACAGCCAAAGCTTGTTACAGGGGCCTAAGTCTGGTCAAGATTGCTCTTGGCAACCTACTTGGGTTTCTCAACATGGACCCCCCTGCCCGCTTTTGGGGCTTCCCCCTTTTGGGTCCTTCACATCATGGATATGAAGGTCTTGGAACCCGTCTACAGGAATGGACTTGGGTTCAATAAATATTGAGTTGAAGGGGGTATGTTGGGGGGACCTCCAGAATACTATGGAACCCAAGTATTGCTGCCACCAGTCGCCTTGGAGTTTGGGAGCGCGACACCCGCTCCTAAGAGCAATGACGGTGCGTTCGGAGTGTCAGCCTTTAGCGGGCCCCACTTCCCGCTGCATTGTCTATCGGAAGAAGTTTAAGTGGGTTGGGATGGGTTTAGGGAGGTTTAAAGTTGGTTTGGGGTGGGTTTGGACCATTGGTTTAATGGAGGTAAGGCAGGTTTACAATTGTTTGGGGGGGGGGTTAGGTTCCACTGGAATTAGGGTAGGTTTGGGGTGGTCTTCGGGTGCGCTTATGGGTGTTTAGGGTCAGGTTGTTGGGCAGGTTTAGGGTGGGATTAGGGTGGGATTGGGAGGGTTTAGGGCCTAAATCCTAACTAAGCATCTGTCGCACCCAAATGGGCAGCTTTTGGCTTTTGGTGGACAGAATTCGCTGGGGACAAAAAAAATAAGCCGTCCGGCACCCGTCAGCTCGCAGGATACCAGATCCAAAAGGTGGACTTCCCCAGCTGGCGGGGACCTTGGGACCTTACGGGGAAGGCTTGGTAGGCCGGGCACTGAGGCCCATGTGCCAATGGACCACTGCCATGCTGCGTCATGGTGCCGTGCTTCTGCTTGGAGTAAATCTTCTTTCTATCGATCAAGGCCTCAGATGCAGAGGTCGCATGCAAACCGTGATGTTCTGTGCTGAGCGCGGGACTTTGGAAGTGACACATCCCATCGCCTTGTCCTTGTGTGGTTTCGTTTGGCGAGGTTGGGGTGTGCCGTTTTGACTTGGTTTCCAAGGGGGTTCGAATCACGGAGGGCTACCCGAAACCAGGACCCCTTTCGTAACCTCCGTTAGCTTAAGGTTGCTGAATAGTCGTTATTTTGACAGTTTCTGGGGGTTATCAAAATCAGAATATGGGGTTGTTCTCTTTAACCTACCACTTAGGGGCTGACTTTGATCATGGTAAAATCATGGGGGCCAGTTGTGGAGGTGTGATTTTGAAGCCGCACCTTCGCCCATTTTTTTTCGCCTGCCTGAGGCCTCCTGAGAGTTCGAGCAACGAAGAGAAGGACTGGAAGCTGAGGTTGGTTTCTGTGGCTTGTGGTTCATGGCTAGCACGGGCATCCCGGATCGAAGTACCCCTGGGTGTCCCCTTGTGATTCAGACCACTTGAGGGAGCACATGTTTTCCCGAAGTGGGGAAGGGTGGAAAAAAGTCTGGGGTCAACATTAGGCTCCCCAAACTCTCAAGGATGAGCTGCTCCAAATATGTTTTTTTTTTTTTTTTCTTCAACATTGGAGAAGAGGGGTAGGTGGCGTTGCTTGGAGATCCTATGAGGAAAGGCCATCACTCCGACTAAAACTCACTGCCAAGCACATGCTTCTTTGCAGCAGTTGCGCTGGGGCGCAGGTGTCCAGTGAGACCAAGCCGCAAACTTAGGCCAAAGTTCTTTAAATGTGGACTAAAAGATGTGGCCTTCGGGCATCCACATGGCTTAGTCACCCACTTGCTTGGCAGAGACCCCTTGGGTGCCTTCGGCCTCGGAGCCCCTACAGGGGTCCAAAGAGACCTGTCCAGAGACATTCCCATGTAGCTCATGTAGCAGTTGGCTCCTTATCTACTTCCATTTGCTTAAGATTTATTTTGTGTCCCCTTAAGGCAATCGATTTCACTACTGGAAGTATGTTGTTGTTTTTCCCCAACAGCTGAAAGCTTTGGGGTCTCAGCCCAGATAGGCTCCGGGGTGGTCCGGGGCGGCCCTGAGGGAAGGTTCCACGAGGGTTCCACCAGGGTTCCACCCGGGCTCCACCACGGTTCCACCAGGGATCCACCAGGGTTCCACCAGGCAGAGTGAGCAAACCCCGGTTGGGGAACAGGAGATGCAGTTGCCTGAGTGCGTCAGCAAAGTATGACACACAAATCAGGCAGCGTTGCAAGAAGCGTCGGATTCACATTTGGAGCCCAATCCACGCCTGGACGCCTGCCAGTGCACAACAAAGTCAGGCTGCGAACCAATTCGGCAGACATGTAACTCTGTTGCCCAGTGTTGGTTGCTTCCTTTTTTTCAACTTTTTTTTGGGGAAGGGTTGTCCCTTTTAAACTCAACGAACAAAAACAGGGGTGCCCGTTTTGTTCCCATGGCCGCTGGGCATTTGAGGCAAGTGCGCACGTCCCTTTGAGCCGACGGCCGTTTTTTGGTTGGTAAGCATCTCTGCGCTGCTTTCGGAGAGATATTACCACATGTCCGTGCTCCTGAAAACTTAATTCTCATTTTCAGGAAGCCGCAGAAATGTTTACCAAGAAAGCGGCCGTCGGCTCAAAGGGACGTGCGCTCTTGCCTCAGATTCCCAGTGGCCATGGGAAACATATTCGACGATTCTGTGAATTGGCCGCGGGTTCCGGAGTCAAAAGAACGAGGTCGCCTGGTTCTGTCACATCTTGTTCCACGGGGATTCGTTCCAAAGCTCCGACTCCCAGGTTTTTCGGGCAACCCGCCTGAAATTCGCCAGGAGTGGTACGCCATGGCCCGAGCCCTGCGCCATGAGGCCCCGCCCTTGCCCAAGCTGGCCGCGAAGCAGGACGGCTTCGTCCCGGCTGCAATCGGACGAGTTGGGGTGGAATGAACCGGAGGTTGGGGATTCCTTTGAGCAAAACAAGGGATTGTTCCTGGGGGTCATTGGCATGAAGGTTGTCCACTGGTTTTGCGTTTTTCCCCTGTTTTTTTTCCGACTTGGCTGAAGGCTGAAGGCTAGGGCATGAGGGTGCGGGTTCAATGAACCGGGGTTTGGGGGATTTTGGTCAAGGAAGCCATAAAGGATTGTTTGAAGCGGGGTCATTCCATTTCTTGTTCCGTGAGAACCAGCAAAATTAGCCATACCTAGGTTGGACACTCGCCATTGCGATCGGATATCCCGCATGCTTTACCTGGGAACACTTCTGTAAGTTTTGATTGTGAAACAGGTCAGTTTGATCAAACATAAGTAGATTCCAAGGGTTCAGTTTGGTTTGGTTTTGTTTTGCCAGCGCTTTGAGGGTGGCCCCCCCCCAACTTGCTCCTGTCCCATTTGTGTGATCGTCTCAGTTGCTCATCTCTTCTCAGAGTCTATGAGTGTTGGCGAGGCAAAGTTCTGGAAGTTGGGGTTGGGCGTCGCTTGCCGAGTCGTCGACTTAGGCTTGGGGGGGAGGGGCCATACCGATTTGGGTTTCGGTCTATGCATCTCCTTGACAGGTGTAAAACTGCAGTACTTGGTGCTTCTCACTGTCAAGCCATCTGCAAGCATGCTAGCGATTCACCGTGCAACAGCCTCCTGCGGAAAATGGACACGAGTCACATTCATCAATTCAAAGTCGGGCACATTGTGAGTTTCTCCTTGGAGCGTGCCGGGTCCAGTTGTCGCACTCCAGCTTTGGCAACAGCAAACAACCTGCACTGAGCAGACAAACATGGAAAGGTGGCCCTTAAGAGTTTTTTAAATGACCCCTCATAGTCATGAACAGGTGCAAGGATGTAGCCTCTATGGCGTCCTCTTCGGGTGGTTCCTACTCGCACCGGAACATTTTTGAATGGCGGCCTTGTCTCATGCCACAAAAATGTGTTCACGTCAGGCAAGCCTGACACATGCAGTTTCCAGGGCGTGCATCATCGTTGACCAGAGCAGCAGCGTGTACACGTTGGCCATGTTAGTGGGGTTTTGGTGGCTGGCAAGAGTGGAGCTAGCCTGCATATGCTGTGCAGATGGGGGAGTATGGAGTTGGAAGGGTCTGGAGGTTTCTTGTAGTATTGCCGGGCATTCACACCTCCTGCGGTTGACTTCCTCCAATTGTTCAGTGTCACCGTGTTGGCCTTTTCATATTTGGGTGTCTTTTCCACAAAAATAATGCCAAGCAACCACAAATGTGTTCTTTGCATACCGCAGTCACTGACCAAGCTGGGCTTCATATCTGCCAGACATGGTCAGGTCATTTGAGGGTTCCTTTTTGGGGTCAGTGTGAAGGGAAACCAAGTGAACATCTTCTTGGCGGTTTTAAAGGAAACCAAAAGGAAGACCATCATTGGTTGGTCCCCCTAAGACTGACGCCTACCCTTTGAGTTCCCTCTTTCCAGCCACGGAGCTAGCCACGGAATCTTCCAAACCGAGACCCATTTTCACTGTGAGACAGATCCGCATATCCCATGGTCGAATTTCCACGGCAGGAGCCTGTGGTGGACAACTTCCCCGCGATTCCTCCTCCCAAAGGCATTCGGCGAAGCCGACCCAGCTGAACACCAGCACGATGGGAATCCCTCGTTTCGGCCATGCATGCGGCCGCAAAAAACAAAGAAACATGCCGGGGCCGGATGGGGGGGGGCGGTTGCCAGGCTTGGCCTGTTGGCATTCCAGGTTTGCTGCGGGATCTTTTTTTCTATTTATTTGAGCTGTTTGAAAGCCTTGACTTGCGACTTGGTTCCGGGTTTGGATTGGCCAAGCCTCCGTTTCAAACCAGTCGAATTGGGGTCCACTTGGCTGAACGCTCAGCTGCCAGTTGTCTGTGGCATCGGGCTATCCCTTAAAGGCACTTAGTGAGTTTGCCAATGCGGCCACGTGTCAGAATGCAAGGCAGGGACTCCTTTGCACGCCTTGTATTCGAGAAGCTATTGTTTTCCTCTTAGGACAACTTCTAAAAGGGCCTCGTTGTTTACACACAGCTGCATGTTGGATTCGTTCACCCGCAGAACCAAACCACACTGGAGTGAAGCAATGCCCATTTTGCGATGCCTGACCCGCGGCTTCTCTAACGAACAGTGCCAGATTCGGCACCGAGTCATTCAAACTCTCCTTCCCTTTTTCTATTCAGGAACCAACAGCAGACGCAGCACCTTGTTTTTCGTGTCATTCAGGCTCTCCATCCCTTTTCCTTTTCTGTGCTTTCTCGTCTTTGCCATTCTTCTTCTTCTTCTTCTTCTTCTTCTTCTTCTTCTTCTTCTTCTTCTTCTTCTTCTTCTTCCTTCTTCTTCTTCTTCTTCTTCTTCTTCTTCTTCTTCTTCCCCCCGCGCTTTTCGGTGTTTGGTTTGTGTTCTTCGCAGTTTCGCAGTCAAGGGCCTCATCCAAAGACACGGTGACGGCCATGGCGAGTGATGAGACGGTGGAACAAGCCTTGCAGCGGATCGCCGAGAAGCCTCGACCTCGGAAAATTTAAGCCGAGCCCAGAAAGGTGGGAAACCTGGAAACGGCTTTCCATTTCTGTCATTTGCTGAAAGGAATACTGTATTGTTTAGTTTCCCTTGTTGGTTTTAAGGGAACCGATTTCACTACTGGAAATATTTTCTCATTTTTTCCAGGGGGCTTAAGCAAATGGAAGATTTGGTTTCTCTTTGAGTCCCGAACAGATGGTACCCTCAAAGGACATGGCAACAGGGGTTGTCCCTTTGTGTTTGCTCAAGATGAATGGTGTTGTTTCAGAAACCTGGGCAGAAATGTCCGTGATCCCTTGCTTTGTTCTGCAAACGGTGGCTGTATATCAGAAGATTTAACACCCCCTAGCATTGCGCCCCGGTTTCGCAAAACAAGCCCCTAACAATTGAGGTCTTCTTTTGAGGCCTTCGGAGCAAACCAGGAGATGGAGGTTGAATGCTTTGATCAGAGTCAACGCACGGATCGCTCTCTGTGCGTGTCGGCCGCCTCCGAGAGCTGAGGTTTCAGGCAGAGACGGGCGCCGCGGACTTTGCGAAGCTGACAAATCACGCCAGGAGCTCCGGACTGGTCGCACTGTACTCCGCGAAAAGCTCGGGGAGTGCATGCTCATTGGTGCATAATGGCTATGGGTCAAAACCAATGGGATCCCATTTTGGGGTAGGTGCACCACCCATTTTAGAACCTATTTTAGTGGGGATTGGGATGTTCACGGATTCGATGATTTTTCCATGGCCATATGGGTAAATGTATGTCAAGAAAGTTGTCGGTCTCAAAATCAAGCGAAGAACATGGAAGCTTCTCCCTGAAAGACAATGTTCCTCGAACTCGGACCCGTCAGGTTCCATCCTTATTTTTTGGTCAGGGTAGGACACCGCTTGGTCGAAGTCAGGATCCCCTTTGACATGCTTAACTCGCCACTTGTGGTCTCAAGGCAACATTGGTAAGCAACTTACGAACTCCCAAACTCACTCCCTGAGTTCATGGACTTTAAACTTTTTGGACTTTCAACTTTTTGGGTTTGGACCATTTTAGTGGCAAGCCAAAAGTTTGGAGGTTTTGGTTGGCCAGTCCACTCAGGAAGTGGGCAAAAGGGGACCATGGTTTCGAGAACTCGCCATCGCCGAGGTCATCGCGACCTTGAAGGATAAGGACTCTCGCGCCCGAGGAGTGAGGCACTTAGCTGGTGGTTGCCTGGAGGGCTGAAATGGGGCATCTTCGGCATGTTCGGAGCATTCCTCTGCCGAAAACTCAAATTATTTCGCAATCAGAGCCCTTCTCCTTTGGGGCCTGCAGGTGAGAAGTTTGGGTCGTAAAAGCACACCCCTTTCAAGTGACATGGAGGCAGGTGGCACAAAGTTGCCATTTGCAGGCAAACTCAGGTGGGCACAGCCGCAATAGCTGGTGTAATTACCCGTGTAAAATCGCTGAGCTCAGGCTTGCAGCCAAAGGCTGCAATGATGAGCGATATCATTCGAGGTTTACAATGCATGTTACAGAAGATTATTCAGCTTGTTTGTTCAGGATTATTGAAGATGTTTGAGCTCATAACAGAAGTTGGTTGATACAGATGTTTAAAGAGCTGAGTCTTGCAGGCTTGCCTGCATAGATCAGCGATAAATAACTAAAATAGGTTTGGGTTCAACAATAATTATTAGTGTGGGTTATTAGTGTGGAAGGTTCAAATCCTTTGCACAATGTACAATTCTAGACTCTTTGGTGGTGTAAAAATGTTAATAGGAATAGTTAAATGTAAGGATAATTGGTAGCTTATTTCTTTGATATTGGCTTCATCTGGTTGTGTAATCTCTCTATAGATATTCTATTCACAAAAGCTTGAGGTGTGACAGGGATTAGATACCCCATTAATTCAAGTGATAATAGGCTTGCGGGAAGAAGGCGACACCCGAGGTGGAAAGCCTGATCCAGCTGCAGGATCAACTGCATGTAGCCCGACGCCTCGGGCGGCCCGGAGTGTTTAACTTAAGGTAGTGATTCAAGGACGGTCGATGTGTGAAGCTTGGTACGTGTGTTGATTGCGAAGGAAAACCAAAGGGGAAAACAGCCGCCATCTTGTAGGTTTGCCATTTGGTGTGGGAAGCCTTATGTGTTGGCATCAAAAGTGGGAAAGTCAAAATACATGCCCAACCGCGGCAGCTCCTTTGATTCTTTATATATATATATAGATATGCTGTTGCGCGGGAGTCTTTTGTCACAAGGGTGATGCGTACCCGAAATACTGAAGGGTCCCTTTTTCAAGTGCCTTGAATGATTCTTTACGGGGGTCGGGGGCAAAACAATCGCTGGCCCAAGCATCCCTTGCCTGCCCCCTACTGAGTTGCAGCTTGAGGTGCACGTTCAAGTCTGCAGCCATAGTCAGCAACGATCATACGAGCATGATGACTGTGATTCCAATTATCCGACGAGGCATTCAGGAAAAATTGTCTTGGAGCAGGGTCATGGTAAAGTTGCCTAACCCCAGTGTCGCGAAGCAAAGTTCCTGTCGACTCCAGGGTTGCCTTTGTAAGCTTGCCAAAATTCCGGGCGTGGGCTACTGAAAAACGATATTGGGGATGCAGGGTTCTCGACTTACTTTGGGGGGGACGTGAAATCACAATTTGAAGGCTGCTCATCAGTATTGCTGCTCATGGTGGCATGGATGCGGGAAACAAGAGCCCAGAACCCGAGGAACTATGTGGAGGAGGCCAATTTGGTGGAGTCCATTGCAGGAAGGATGCGCACGGATGACGCGTACTCCCTGCAGTCTGCGCTGCCCGTGGTCCAGGCCGAGCAATCGGAGGACAGTATAGGGGTCCCAATGGCTGTTGGTTTTCTCCAAATACTCAGTTGCCCAAAGCCGACCTTTAAACCTGTTTGTTTTCCAAGTTTGGTCTATTTTTAGTAAAGGGCCCAAAAGGTTAACCTTTTATTTCTGGGTCCTTTGGGTGACTGAGAAGAAGACCTTGAGGAATTTGAGGCCAACAGGTTGGGGGAAGGCCGTTGGATCAGATCAATGAAACGAATATGTGAGCTTCCTTGGTGATCTTTCAAGGGGTAAGGGAGCCCTCCAGGAGATGAAGGAGATGATCCGGCAGATGCAGACGCTGGTCGCAACAGCGCCGGTTGAGAAACCAACCGCTTGCAAACCACCCCAACTCCCTGAGTTGCTGGATGTTTGTCACTTTTTAGGAGGAACATGGTAGTTCTACATGAACAGTTCAGACTTGTTTGCCCATCCACTAAGGCAGTGAGCAGAAGGGCGTTGTTCAGACTCCATGTCAATTATCAGGGGAGGCAGCGCGAATTTCTCACCAAGGTGGGAGCTTTGTCACCTTTTTGCTTGGTGCTTGGGGATACGGTTTTGTGGGGGATGCATTTCCCTGCAGAACAGTTCTTCCGTGAAGGACAATCAAGTCATTTCATAATTCCCCAACAGCTGAAAGCCAAGGGGTCTCAGCCCAGACAAGGTGTGGGGGTGGCTCGGGGGAGCTTTGGAGTCAGGTTCGACCAAGGTTCCGGAGGTTCCGGGGAGGCCGGGTGCAAGGCTCAAGTAAGGTTCCGAGGTTTCGGGGTCGTCTGGTGCAGGCCAGTGCAGGCAAGGTGTGAGGTTCAAGGAAGGTTGCGGAGGTTCTGGAGAGTTTCCGGGTGGCTGGCGCAGGCCAGATGGAAGGTTCAAGGAGGTTCGGGAGGTTACGGGGTGGTCTGGTGCAGGCCAGATGTAAGGTTCAAGGAAGGTTCTGGACGTTTGTCAGGCTCAAGCAAGGTGAGAGGTATCGGGGTCTCTGAGGTAAGGCTCCGCAGCAAGGATCCTGCAGAGTTTTGCGAGGGTGAGAGTTTTTCTGTTTTTTCGAAGCCTCTCTTTTTGGACCTCGTCTGGTCATGAAGAAAGCTCAGGTGACATCCCCAACAGCATGCGACACTCTTTTTCGACCCTCGCAGAACTTGCGAAACCTTACCTCAGAAACTCAGCAAAAAAAAATCAACTGAAAATTCAGACTCCAAAAAACACCGACAAAGACCACAGGAAAAACACAAGGGACGACTCAAAAACAAACACAGGAACACCCAGCCTTCAACTCAGAAAAAAACTCAGCCTTGAACTCGATCCCCCCACTTGCGTTTGAGGCTGAGTCGAGAGCTGAGTGAGTTGTTTCTGAGTTATGTCTGTGTTTGTTTGAGTTGTTTGAGTTTTTGTTAGGTTTTCGGATCTTCCCAGGTAGGTAGTTTTCCAGATTGAGTTGTTGTTTGAGTTGTTTTTGAGTTGTTGCAATTCCCGGATTCGTGGCCTCTGTGGGCGAGACCAGGTCATAATCACACCTGGACCTTGCAAGGTCCAAGGTGTTCCTTTGTTCTACCTGTTCAACGAAAACTGCTTTTCGGGAAGGGCACATTTTTGTGCCTGGGAGCGCTTTTTGCGTTTTGCTGATATATCTGAGCCAAACCTGGGTGTAAAAGACGACTTCTCCCGACCAACAGGCGATTTTCCCTGCCGCAGCACAATGAGAGGGCACTTTCTCGCACAGAGCAGCGCTTTTTCGCAAATTTCTGCCTTTTCGCAAAACAGCCGAAAAAGGTGCAGCTGGAGGGTCCAGGTGTTTCCTATGGTTGCTACTTGTGGCTGCCATTGTGTGCCCAAAGGCCCGTGCAAAATGTGGATTGGCTCAGGAAAGCAGACCTCGCCTCGAGACCCTATGAGTTCATCAACGCCGCGGACTCAGAAGAGATCACGGTGAACATCAAGGTGCCACCTGCAACACAAATGAAGGCTGCTTGGCAGGAAGCTCCAGATGGGTGCGTGGGTGAGTGGGTGGGTGGGTGGGTTTTTCACTTCCCTTCAAAAGTAGCCTCAAACAATTTGCTTACAGTTTGTTGAGCATATATGGTGTGCTTTTTGTCCGCTTCTTCTTTCTCACCAGGACGTGACGGTGAAGCTGACTGCCGCCAACATCCGAGTGGAGGTGAAGGCGTGAACGCCAGCCACAAGCAGTTCCCAAAATCATACCTGGAGTAGGTTCGCCATTCTTGCCAGAAATCCTTCTTGCCTGAAAACCACCCAATTCTGAGGGAAACAGCTGGTTTGTTGATAAGGATCTTGACTGCTATTGGGTTGGATCTTTAGGCTTTCACTTTTTGGCTGAAATCAAGTTGGGTTTCCCACACGAAACCCCCCAAGACGTGAGAAACCACTTTTGGCAGGGGGGTGCCTTCCAGCAACCAAGGGATGGTCGAAAAACGTGGCAGGGCCATGAGCTGCAACCCTGCATCGACGGGGCCTTCTACCAGCCAGTGGACCCGGCCGGCTGCGATCATCACCTGGAGGGCTCCGGTGAGAAGCGGGCCGCGGGCTGAGAGTAACGGGAGGACTCGACGACCCGGGTTTGGGGGGGCTGGGTGCTGCCATCTGGGCCGGGCCGTTTTTTGTTTGTTAAGCCCACGAAAAATGGTGGGTTGTCCTTTGGGTGTTTCTTTTTTTTAGCTGCCGAAGAAAAAAAGAAGAGGTACTCTTCAAAAAGAAAGGCGCCCATGTTTCTTTTGGAAGGGGCGGATGCCTGAAAATCGACTGCCGCAAGAAAAGGATGCCTTTTCCCACGGCCCAGCATCGGATTCAACTCAGCTTAGATCTTGTTGGTTGGTTTAGTGGTTGGGTGTCCGTTTTATCCCAAAAGTTCCATCCCCCTAGCTTATTTTAGGATTTAGTGGTTGGGTTTCCATGTAGCCCACAAGTTAGTCACTTTTAGCATGACAATGGAGAGCCCAGTGCTGATCCTTGTTTCCAGACCCAGCCTGTGGCCCTCGCGCTGAGACCTTGGTCCTGGATATCGAGAAGAAGACGAACGGCTTGAAATGGCCCGATCTGCTGGGCTACGGGGCTTGAGCTTTTGGCGGTTGTCCAGTGGCACCCCTTTGCCCTTTAACTTGAGCTCCCTACAACCCAAAGACAGTGAAAGCCGTATCCCACAAAAGATGGGTCAACCCAAAGAAGGTTAGTTTGGGTTCTCACTAAAAGTGGGCCAACGCGTCTCAAGCAGGTTCTTACTAAAATAGTCAATCCGTAGAAGCTATTAAGAATGGTCAAGCAAAGCAGGAATGTGGATTCCCACTAAGAATGATCAACCGAAAGAAGGTTGCTTCGGATTCCCACTACAAATGGTCAACCCAAAGAAGGTTAATGCGGATTCCCACTAAGAATGGTCAACCCAAAGAAGGTTAGTTGTTGAACGATGTTTGCATCTTGTCTTTAAGAAGGAATTTCATCCTGACCTGTCTCCTGCATGGAACATGTTCTTATGCTTCACCAACTGGTCGGCGCGGCGTAAAGCAGGGTGAGCAGCCGAGCGGCCGAAAGCTGGTGACAGCTTTGCGTGTTGGCCGGTGAATTCAAAAGCATGACCAAAGACAATGTGCCCGCAGATGTGCAAAAGCAGGAAAAGTGCAGGGCGGATATCCGTGCGAAAATTCAAATGTTGTTTGTTCGATCGGCTTGCCACAAGCAAGGCGATCTCCGGTTTGCCTTCGCTGGGTTTAGGCCGAGGCATCACATTTGGCAAGTCTGATCATTTGATGGCCATATGTTGCATCCTCCGGCTCGAGATGAGAGACAAGTAGAGAACGTCTGCCTGGGTCATAGTTTATCAAAGCAGCTGGAAAGGTCCTGCGTGCAAGAATTTGGGACCCATACTACCTCTGAGGCAATTAGCTACCTAGACAAGCGTCAGGTCATGCGCAAAACGTGTGCTCACTTCCTGAGTTCCTGGACTTTCGTCACTTTTTGGGCTCGGACCATTTTTTGTGGCAAATATAGAGTTTGGACTTTGTTGGGCCATTCTTAGGGGAATACCATTTTGGGAATACATGTTTTTTTGCCATCCCCTCGGAAAGTGAGTGTGTGTGTGTGTGCTTTTCCTCGTTGAAGTGTTCGCGCGGCGTCGCTGGGCATCGCCTCGCCATGTCCTTCTTCCAGTGGCAGTTCGGGACGCCGAGCTATGACCTGCCAGAGGCGCCGTCCGATGGCCTGATGGCCTTCTCAAGCTTATTGCTGCTTCGCCGCCATAGCCCAAACGAAACAATGCGCTAAGACCCCACCCCGATTGACTGTAACATATGCTTTTGTCACGAAATCGTGGTCAGCTCCTCCTCTGTTTTGCTCCCCTTGCCGTGAGATTCAGCCAGCACGGTGAGTTCAATGAATTTGGAAAGGGCCAGTGAAGCAACCAACATGCCTGTGCAAAGCAGGCGGGTTTTGGACGCATCCTGTCAGGTACCCCATCCCTCCAGAACCTGCGGCAAGAGCCCCTTTGGAGGTCTAAGAACTTGGGGCGAGGGCTGTTGGTTTCCTCCATGCCGACTTTCCGGCAACATAAAACTGTCACAGACACGCAGTGGCGCCCCTTTCTTCTTTTGTTTTGGAGGGGTTTCCGTTTTACATCAGCTGCCCTGCCCAACAGGGCACCTCTTCAGGGCACCTCTTCAGGAGATTCTTCTTGCAGGTGTTCCTCCTACAAATCCTGGGAGGCAGGTCCCCCAACAACAAAAACCGAAGAAGCCCCCCTTTCCGCTTCCATGTGTTTCGTTTCTCTTTCCCACCGGCCACCGGGCCACGCTGAGAAGCCGAGGTCCGGAGTCTCGGCGGCGGAACCTGAGACTTTGGAGACGTTGGAAGTGGAGAGGCCGGAGGAGTCGAGAAAGGCGGCCTGTCATTGAAGTGTCCCGTGTTTTTGGTGACTCCTTTTTGTGGGTGGGGTTTCTTCGGGTTGTTTTTTTTTGGTGACTCCTTCTTTTGGGTGGGGTTTCTTTGCGCCTGTTTTTGTAGGTGACCTCTTTTTTGGGTGGAATTTCTTTGAGGCTGCGTGTTTCCTTTGTTCCTCTTGGGGTTTCCAAGCCTTCCTTCAAAGAAAAACCCTTCGACGTCCAATGGAAGCAAACTGAGCCGCGTTTCACATCCGACGCCGAGATCTTGACTGCTATTGGGTTTGATCTTTAGACTTTCACTTTTTGGTTGAAATCAAGTTGGGTTTTCCACACACCCAAAAAGTGAGAAACAACTTTTTGCAGGGGGGCCCTTCCAGCAACCAAGAGATCTGCATGGGTCAAAATGAAGCCACCAGGGGACCGCAGATTTTAGTCCATGTTTCCATTTACCAGGGCAAGCCATTTTGGGTACCTATTTTTGAGCCACAGCCAGATCTAAGGATCAGATCACCACCCCGAGCGTCGCGAGGTTGTCGGTGGGCACGATCGAAACTGCGGCGTCAGAGGCACTGCAGGTGGCCCCCGTGACTGCGTCTCGGCATGCGAGCTGCCAAGCCCCGGTCAACATAGGTGTCCTTTTTAGCAGGGCTCCTTAAAAGATACATGTTGCACTTTGCACCATTTGAAACATGGCTTTTTCAACACCAAAATAAAGGGAAACCACAGTTTACAAAGCAATGTTCAGGTGTATACTGTAAGGATCCCTGTTTAGGTGAGTTTGCTAAGAAATTGAAGGCACTGGTTTAGATGGGTTTGGTTCCATTTACCAGGGAAGCCCACCTATTTTTCCAAAAGGACACCTATGCCAGTCAACCTAAACGGTCTCCATCGGCGTAGCTCGCTAGGGGTACCTTCCATTTCCATTCTGAACCCAGGGATCCGAATCTTTCTAGAAAACCTCCGGAAACCCAGGGAAAACGGATCCAGTTTCTGGAAAGAGCGATGGTTGAAAAGAATGGGGAATCAACCCCTAGAAGCTCGCCTTCTTGCCTTGTGCTTTTTTGAGTCTCCCGCATTTCCCTCAAAGATACAAAGAAAAAGAAAGCCTGGCCCCAACGGGGAATGTCTCAACCTCAACTGTGTCCTCCAAGCCCGGCTCAGAAACCAGCGTTTTGCTCCGTTCCCCTGTCTTTTGGATAGTGTGCCGTAATTTCACATTTTGAGGTTCACTAAATCTAGAAAGGGGGCCTTCTTTACACGGACCATTTTGTCAGGGTTGTCTTTCAAGGGTACCTTGTAAGAGGCCTGTGTCTTCTCTGAGACTTGCTTGAATGGTTCTGCGAGATAAACACCCAAAACGCATTCTCGGCAAGCGAATGGACCCTTTTGGGTCTTTCTCGTGGGCCCGTTCGTCAAGTCCCATTGAATCGACCTTTTAACCTTTGGGTGGTCCCTAGGAACCGGTTCGGTTTCTATTTCTTCACCTCTGGGGTTTCCTTTTCCCCTGTTTGCGTCACAAACAGGGCCCCATGTGTTTTCGCTTCACTTGGCATGTTGTTTGGCCCAGGCCCAGCGCTGGCAACTCTCCAGCGCAAATCTGGTGTCCCACTGGATGCCCTTCTCGCGCCTGGGTTGGATTCAGCATATGTTGGTTAGAACCCCGGAGTCAGTTGGATGATTTGGTGGGTCAACAATAGGCGCTCAAAATGGAACCCTGGTAAATGGAACCGGGGACTAAAACCAAGCAATTTTCGGCGGGAGCGTCTCATTTGAGAGGGGATCCAGATCACTCTTGGGGGGGGGGAGTAATTGGGTGTAGGAAATTACTTCCCACTTCCATTGATAGAAAGAGGTTGGGAATCTATCGGCTTCCTAGAGAAATGGAAGCCCAAGGCAAGTCATGGAAGGTGATTTGAAACTGGCCCAAATGAATGCTTTAAGGGACCAAGCCGCGATTGAGCTTTGATTCAAGTCCATGTTGATGTCAGGAGCTTTACCCACATACTGCTCCAGTTCTCAAAAGACACCACCAGAAGTCAAGGGCGCAAGGATCGCAGTTTTGGAAGGGACCAAGGCCCCGTCTTCCACGGACGCCAGGAGGGCCCTGCATAGTGTCAGATGTTCTCAGCTAAGCAGGGCTAGGTTCTTCAAAGGTCGATGCTTCCAGATGGTCGTGGTTTCGCTTGCAGTGCCTAGGGCACCCCCTGCTCGCATTTTGAAGAACCCACAGTGGAATGAATAGATGGGGGGCTTTGAAGGTGCTCAAGTGGTGCTTGCACGTCGCCTTCTCGCGAGGCTGTAGGCCGAGCGCAGGAAAAGATGATCTCACTTCCTGAGTACTAAAGTCACTTTTCGGGCTTTCGCCACTTACTTTTCTTGGGCCATCCACTGAAGAAGTGAGTGATTGATTCTGCGTGCATCCTAGAACCCATTTGTTCGAGCCCAGTACTGCAGCACTGGGTCGCTTCGTTGAGTATTTGTACGCGCAAATGCGCATCCTTCCAATTCACAGGGTCTCTTTAAAAAGAAAATGGTCTAAACCAGGACCCTGTCAACCTTGCAGGTTCCATGTTACTTGGGGCATCTCGATGGTTTGAGACCCCGAGGGCATACGAAGGGAACGACCTCAGCGGCATCGCCAGCCTCGACAAGCTGGCCGAGCACTGGCCAGCGCCGGTACACGACACACGCGACCCCGACCCGGCGCCTGAAGGCTTCCGAGTGCTCTCCGTAAGGCACCATGCACCTCAGTCGCATACTTCCATTTGCTTAAGAATATGTTTGTTTATCATTATTATTATTTTTATTATTAGTATTATTATTATTATTATTATTATTATTATTATTATTATTATCATTATTATTACTATTACTATTACTATTACTACTACTATTACTATTACTATTATTATATTAGTATTATCATTATTTTGATTTTCCCTTCTTGCTTTTAAAGGGAATCTATCACTACTGGAAATACTTTTATTTTTTCCGGGGGTCTTAACCCGATGGAAGCATATCAGACCCCGCGGTACCCGGGAACCCTCTTAAGAGTCCAAAGAAACCCTGGAATGAATTATTCCCCTGTAAATACCAACAAAAAATGGCTTCCCATGGTTTCAAAGTGGCGCAGGATTTCGTCCATCCACAGTACCAACAGCTGGTTAAACCAAAAGCTGCCAAGGAGTCCAATAGCGATCCTACGGACATCTCCGTGGGGAAGTACTTCTACTTCGACGCCTCCCAGTTTCCGAGCTTTGAATTTTCCTCTCACCCTTGCTACGTGGAGCAGTGGCGCCAGGGCACTTTGAGATGGAGCGGTCAGGCCAGTCGTCCGTCTGGGTGTATTGGTTTGTTGGTGCGGGTGTGCCTCAAAACAGGCGCCCCCTAAATTCCCCTTGAAGAAGTGACGTTGTTGGTTTGGGCGTGTCTCAAGATGTGCGCCCCCTAAATTCCCCTCGAAGAAATGACCAACCACAAGGCGTACATTTTGAGAAGCTCCCTTCGCACGAAGCAGAGGCGATTCCCCAACCTGTCTTTTCTCAACCCTACCTGCAACGTGTGTCTCGCATGTTGCCCTTTGGCTTACAAATGCCCCTGAAGCGGTCGACTCGGATTTCCCTTTCCTCGTGAAAGTCCCCTTTGCAAAAAGGACTTCTTCCCAACAGGGGCCCCACCAACGCTTGCCATGGCCAGAGCTGAACAGGGCTCCATTTTATGAATACCTCAAAGTAGGACATAAACCAAGGGCTGGCTGGTTTCCCCAAAGGAGCAGGGTTTAAGTCTACCTTGCCATCAATGGCACCATACCCCCAATACCCATACCCAGAGGTGGTTGGTTCTCCCAAACGGTTGCCTGAGCATAGATGTCCTTTTTAGGTTACTTGAGTTAAAATAGATGGCACTGGTTTAGAAGAGTTTATCATATTTAGCAGTGCCATCGATTTTTCCCAAAAGGCCACCTATTTGCCTCAGATTGTTTGCCAGGGGTTTGTGTTTTTTGAAGCCTCCCCCGGCTGAAGGGAAAGCATCCCCACCCCCGGTTCCATTTTCCCTTTGGTGGGAGGACTGAATATGGGACCCCCCACCCCCCTCCCCCTTAAGGTGGGGTAGATGGGAAAGCAAAGGGAAGGCAACCAGGTTTCGGGTCCATCTCCAACCTGACAGAGAGAGACCCATATTCTGGGTGCGACCCCCCAAAAAAGGGTGGGTTTCTCTGTTGGTTCCCTTTTAAAGCCATCCAAAAGTGGGTCCCTCCGAAAATGATGCACTCATATATGCTCTTCCCATGGGCCTAGTCACAGGAGGCTCCGCTCCGCGGATTTTTCTTTGCACGAGAGGTGAAGCTGACCCTGGGCGGCTTCGGCTCGGCAGACCTAGCGGAGCTGTCGGAGGAAGAGGTCGGCCGAGCTTTGGCCGAAGGATGGGGAGGGCTGTGCTTTTTAGGTGAGCCTGGTTAAGAATAGATGGTTTCCACTGGTTAGATGGGTTTTGTTCTACACAGTTCCATTTACCAGGGAAACCCATTTATTTTTCCAAAAGGCCACCTATGATCGGGAGGCTTGGGGTGAGGTTTTGGGGCGCTAAGGGGTTTTCTTTTGGGCTTTGGGAGTTCGGGCTTTGGGCACGAGGAAGAACAAGTGTTGAAACATGGGTACACAGGTTGTATTTTTCCCCAAATAGCACCTTTGCCAACTGTTTCAAAGGGCTTCTCCAATGTTCCAAGTGACGTTGAGGTGCATCTTGTGAGGGAACCAGGGGATGGATGTGTTTTCACACTTCCGAAGCCCCCAACAAAAAGCACCCAATGATCTTGAGGTCTGGCCTGCCAGAGCCACAAAGGAACTGTTCAGTTTTTGGGGAATGCTGAACTAGAGGCAAGAAAAGTTGAACTTCTTGTTCAGGGGGGTTTGGCTTAGTCAGCTGCCGGCTGGGGCCCCAAAAGCGGTGTTTGTTTCGAACACAAGGGAAAACCATGGTGTGTTTGGTGGGCAATTTGAACGCCTGAACGGCTTTTTCAACATCAGAGCTGTCTTGGGCACGTTTCTGTTGGTTTACAATTCTGCTTGCGAACGCTGGAGCCCCATGTAGGCGCAAAAGAACGTAAGGCGACGGAAAAATGAAGGCAATTCAGGGATGCTGAGCAGGCGACATCAGCACTGGCAGCCCGAACGGTTGTTGCAGCACCAACGTTGAAGTTCGATCGCTCAAGAGCAAAATATCACTTTTCCAAAAAGAACAAAGGAAGTACTAGTACTGGTGGTTGATGCTGTCACTGCAAATGTGCAGTTAGTGGAAAGGAGCCCTCAAGCAGAGTTCCCTGTATTCAACCTTTTGGTGGTTTGTTTACACCGCCTTTTGGTCTCTTAGGTGAGTTTTGGTTGGGTTTCCCTTGCTAGGGGTGATGTTTTTTCAGGGTCCAGGCACCCCTGTCCAGTTTTTGTTTTCCAAAGCTGGCAAGCGAGAAGTGAGGCTTCGGCGTGGGGCGGAAGGAACCTCGGAGCTTCGCGAGAGCGGGGGACTTCGAGCTTGAGGACCTCATCTCAGTGGTGGCCTTCCATCGGGATCTGGCGCCCTCCGCGGCTTCGCTTCCAAAAGGTGAAGCGCCAGTTTCCTGAGATGGCCCCTGCGGTTTGTGGTGTGTGGGTCATGCTACAAAAGCTATGAGTTTAAGGCAGACAAGTTCTGAAGCAGAGTCAGGCTAGTATTGTTGTTGGAGTACCCCCCCCCCTCTTTCCCAGATGAGCGCCAAGGTTTGCTTGTGGTGGACTGTTTTGGCCCATGAATTGTCAAATGAGTAGAGTCAAACTGGTCCAGATGTATGATCGGAACCTGAAGCCGATGGGCCCCTTCGAAATGCTTAAGCCAAGGGGTGTTTTAGCTATCCCAGAGGTGTCCCTGGTTGTTTGGATGCGTGTTGCATGTGTCATCCTTCAACCGTCCTAAGAATGTTCTGGCATGCAGGAACATGACTTTGCACAAAGTACAAGGAGCTTTGGGAAAAGCTGAGATCCCTTAGTTGATGAGATCCCTTGGTTGAATTCCTGAGATCGAGGTTTGTCAGTTGTAGTCACAGATGGCTAGTCCATGATGGGCATGTTAAGCAAACAGGTGGGGAACCACCTAGAGTTCGAGCGCAACCTCTACCACTACCAGAGGCAGAGCCAAATCTGGAGCCGCTGGTGAATGGTCAATCAAATGCATGGTGAAAGGTTGGGGTCGGAGGCATTTTGTGCATGTCATTCGTGATCAAAAGTGAAGCAAAGCAGTGAAATGCACATTGCCCCACGGGGCCACACTCTAATCACCCATGCCTCCCATGGTCTCGTTTTTTTCCTCCAGGTGAAGGTTGGATTGCTGGCGTGTTGGGTGCAAAAATGCAAACTGAGTTAGCAAAGCGAGACAGTTGCACGCTTGGTGATGAGGGGACCTCAGCTGTGAAGGGTTGCGTCTTGGGAAATCCGACAGCTTTAGGCAGAGGAAAATGCATTGGCAGGGCATCAAGGCGACGTCGTCAATTTTTGAGCATGACAAGAGTCATGGCAGGGGCACGCCCTCCCACCCCCAAACTCTTCCAAATGCGACCAACAAATGTTCGCCATCACTTTAAAAAGGGGCGCATCATGAGCTTGCATTGTACCTGCAGACGTGTGCATGTTCATGACAGCGTTCCCAAAAACATAGACGTTGGCACAGCGCAAACACGCCGAAGTCGGTCAGCAAAGCATCCCTTCCGGCGGGTGATTTTTTGCGCAGCATTTTTTTGCCATCAAAACCTGGCTCGATGAATGGTCAGAGAGTTACGGTCCGCTCCAAAGGCCTCCCCCGCCCGTTTTGAGCAATTTTGCTTGGCGGCTCCCAGCCATCCCGTTAGCCTTTTAGCTTTTTAGTGTTTCGTGGAAGTTTCCGAATTTCACCCACTAAAAGTTCTCAACTTTTCGTGGGGGATCTGAGGGCAGCCCAAACTTGAAAGAGCCTTGTGTGGGAAATATTTGGGTTCCCCTGCCCTCCCTCCCCCCCAGCCCTGATTTGAAGCCGTTTTCGTTTAAGAGCTTCACGGAGGTCTTGCATGGGCAAGCGGATCCTGCCGGAGGAGGCCGTGATTGTCCACGACCTGGGGGATCTCGGCCAGCGGAGCCTCCGGCCGGAAGAATGAAATGAGTAGAGCGAGGGAGTCCAAAGTTCGAGGGCTCGAAACAAGGGGACACCGGAGTTGAAAGCACGGGAGGTGGGGGATTCCAACATTTTTTACTCTGTTGCCCAGTGGTGGCCTTTTTCTTTTTTTGGGGGGGAAGGGTGTCCCTTTAAACTCAACCAACAAAAAAGGGTGCCCTTTGTCCCATGGCCTCTGGGCATCTGAGTTTCGGTTTGAGAATTGCAGAGGTGTGCCAAGATAAACCGATTGATTCATGGAAAATCGGGACTTTCCATGATCAAACAGGGGGCTTCGGGATCGAAGCCACTGAGTGTCCCAAATGATGATGGCATCCCAAAAGAGGAAGGCCTCCGATGTTCTTTTCTGCTTGTTGTCGTTTGCTTGTGTTCATCAATTCGCCAAAGACCGCTTGGGAGATGAAGTAGAGCTGACCCTCAGGTGAGGTCAGTGAAGGCGTCTGAGGTTGCTATAGTTCGCCCAGATCGAAAGGCTACATCTATCCGAGCTTGTTCCACTAAAACACACGGTTTCCCTTTGCTTGTCTTTAAGCCAACCTGGAAAACGTGCACGGTTTTCCTCTTTGGGGGAGTGGCCGGTCATAGTCCAAACAAGCTTTTGCAGTGTGATTGGGCCGGGAAGTTCTGGTTTCTTTGGTGAGCGTATTTCTCTTTGGTATCCGCGGCCGCAAGCAGGGTAGTGAAACCCCTTCCAAAGGGCTTCGCGCACGTCCATGTTGTCTGGAGAAAGGGTTGCCGCAGAAGCCCTGGCACCTGATCCCGGAAGCAAATTGAAGCAAAAGGATTGTGTTGTGCAGCTCGGTAGGGCAAAAATGCACCACCTTTCACAAACAGTGAAGGTCCCTTGCTTGCTTGCTTGGGGATTCCTTTTGTTTTGGTCGGTGAATTGCAGTAAGTTGTGCAGCTGGGCGTGTAAATTGTGTTCTCTTTATGGGTTTCCTTGGCAACTAACCCCAAAACACGGGTACCAGGAGCCCCAAAATGGGCCCCGGTTCCGTTGCGATTTCCCCGTTTAAACCAAACAATTCCCGGCGCAAGTCGAGAAATCCATCCGCCTAGGGACCAAACCCGCGTGAGGATTTGCATCGAGACAGAGGTGGACCAGCAGGAGTTGGCGGCCATCCGCATGTCGGCCATACCGGCCATTGAGGACGAACACTCCGCGGCGCTGTCTCGGGAGAACAGCCTGGCACTGGCAGGACACGGAAAGTTGAGAAGTTGAGAGCGAACCTGATTCACAAAAAAAAGTCGCTCTGCCCTTCCGGAATGTGACCACTTCGATTCGATATTTCCAGGTGTACCTCTCCCATCCCTTCCCAAAAATGCGCAGAACAGAGCCTTGTGAAAGCGGATCCGGCCTTCGTGGCTCTTTGAGTACAAGTCTTTGGTTACGAAACCCAATACCTCGTTGTTTTCTCAGAAGGAGACGGCGTTTGGGGTGCGTTCTCCGGGGATCTCTCTTTAAATCAATGTGATGATCCTAAGAAATGCGCCGGCACTGGTTTCTTTTCTGGGATTGTGCTTGTGTGTTTGTGTTTTGGGGGGGGGGTGGTCGGCGAGGGCAACGGTGAACGCCGACTGGCCACCCTAGCTATGGATACTTCCAAGTTACCACCTGCTTTCGAGTGAGCAGCCGTGGTTCAGAGAGTTAGCAAGGCCTAGCAAGGTGTGTTCAAACCTGTATAACCATGTTGGCAGAACCAAGTGGAGTCAATGGCTTTTCGGCAAACTTCTACGTGATCCGTGGGTACAAGCTTTGCAGCAATTACAGGCCACAGGGACATGCATGAGCAAATGTAGTCAGCTGAACCTGGATCCGCTCAGAAAACCATCCACCATGTTTCCAGGAATCTAGCTGTGGAACCTTTTTGGGTTCCATCTTGATTCCCCTGGGTTGGAGGCACCTGCATGGTTTTCGGCGGGGCCCCTCGAGCCTTTTTTGGCAGCTCGGGCCCGAGCAGGCTCATGGGGATTGTGTGCGGCATGTGCCCGACATGTCCAACAAAAAGTTGCCTTTGGGTTGCCTTTGGGTTTGCTGAAATAAACATATTATATATATGCTTCCCCTGGTTTTAAAGGGAATTTACCACTATTGGAAATATGTTTGTTTTTGTTTTTTCCCAGGGGTCTTAACCAAATGGAAGGTTGCCTTTGGATTGTGTATGCCGGAAACTAAGTCCCCCAGCTAGGTGCCCGTTTACCATTTCTTTTTTGGGGGTTTTGGGTTCCCCTACTAAAATCGACTACAGCAAACAGGGTGCCCTGATTCTAACCTCTCTACTGCGTCTACTGGAGGACCTAGGAAAAGGCATGGGTTGCAGGAGCCCTCGGGTGCCATGTCCAAAAAAGTTTGGCGGCCACAAAAACAAAACGGGCACGAACATCGGCCAGCTCTACTGGCCCCATGGATTTTTTAGATGCCCCCCCCCCAAAAAAAGAAAACAAAGAGGAGGGGGGCAACATGAAGCTTCCGTGACCTTGGAAGCTGGAGGTTTCCGGGTCCCAAAACCCAGCCCAATCGCACACCTCGCTAACCCGATGTCGCTTTCCAGGAAAGATCCGGCCTCGGCTTGTTTTGCCGTTCGCTTTTTGCATTTTGGGTAAACTGGAGAATTCTCTCCCTGTCAACTCAATGGAGTTCATCTCATCTTACAAATGCGGATGACGCATCTTCAAGGATCTCCCTATGGTCACAGTCAGGTCGGGATGCAAGAAACTGGGTTCGCTGTCCAAAGGCGGCCTGCACGTATTGGGATGTATTGGGCTAGGGCAGCGTTGGATGCAGGTTGCGTTTCTAAGATGAAATGAACTTTGAATCGACATGTAACCTGTTTCTTCTTCTTTCAGTGCTATTGGGTTGGATCTTTAGACTTGAACTTTTTGGTTGAAATCAAGTTGGGTTTTCCACTAAACCCCCAAAAAGTGATTCACTTTTTGCAGGGGGGTCGTTCCAGCAACCCAGCTTATGTCTAGAACCCTTCTAGAGCCCTTCGGGTTCTCTCAGTTAGCCTTGGGGCGACCACTCCCGGCGGGGGCTGGCGGGCAAAGTCGGCTGCAGTCGGATACTCCATCGCGGTGCAACCTCCGGAAGCTCCGAGCGACGTGGCGCAGGAAGGCTCGGCGCTGGCGGTGAGGAAAGCCAAGCGCACGGACCTTCTGAGCGCCCGCTGACCTGGCGGAGGCTACAGCGTTCCCCCCCATAGCTGGGGGCGCCCATAGGGTTTTAACAAAAAGCATGCCAAAAGGGGAAACTCAGAGGAGATCCACATTTTTTTGCAGACCCCCTATTTAGCACCCAGTGGTGGATTAGTAGGGGTGGTGTTCCCCCCAAAACTAAATAGCCTCAGTTATGACAGATTCCCTTTTTAGATTGGGCACGCCCTATTAATCAACCAGGGGTGTATTAATCCTGAGCGCCCCCTGGCGATGGGACGACGCTCATGCGAAGACACCTGAGATGGCTCTGCCTATTTTATGGCGAGCTCACTGATCGGGGGGGGGGGGGGGTAATACAATCTCACGATGATGAAGGTCCTTGGGGATTAGCATTTTCCGAGTTGGTTTCTCCAGCCGCTCAGTACATTCCACCCCCCTTTCCTAGGTTAACGATCATCCCTTGCTTTATTTGCGCGTTGCGGAACAGAAGGCCCATATGGGATCGTCCAAAAAGCAACCTTCTTGTAAAAGGTGTGCCGTCTTTCACGCGAGGTTAAACATGAATGGAGTACGTTGTTGTTGTGGCGCCCCCCTCCCAATGTGAATGAGCGGCGTTTCCAATAAGGAATGGACCCGTGAACAAGCATGGCTAACTGTTGGCTTCCCTGTGCAGGCACTCAACAGGGGATAGATCGGCCTGGATGTTTCTAGACCTTACTGGAGACGCCTAGATAAACTCACCCGCAACCAAAGAGAAGCAACGCTTTGATCAATGGTTTTCCTGGTGTTGGTCCCTTTTTTTGAAGGCCTAGTGCGCGTCTTTTCGAGCAAGTGAGCAATGAACACAGCGAAAGGTTGGGTGTCCTCTCGTTGTGCTTGTTGCCTTTGGGGGTAGGCAAGGTAAGCGCTTGGAGGGAATATACAGCTTGTGTGTCTGGAGGCCTATTGGCCACTTGTGCGATGGAGAACACATATTCATGTTGGCCTATGTCCTTTGTCAAGCGCGCTGACAAATAACTGCACGGATCATGGTACTTATCAAGGACACCAGGACCATCCCCATCAGGTGGTTTACCTTGCTCGCGATGAAGATTTGGGTTTGTTCTGAAATCAGACATCCCATAGACTCCTCAGCACTTGCTGCCGCTAAGTGGCAGCTGAAAACAGATGCGCAGGCACACAGAAATGGCTCGCGGGGGGCGGCACACTCTTGAGCAAACAAAGGGACCGGCCCGGAAGAAATGCTGATTTGCCACAGGACACAGCGAAACATTGATCTTCCTAGCCGCACACTTGGCATGACCTTGAACTACAGCATGGGCGTGGTGTTTTTCCCGAATGCGTAGCAGAAGGGTTCCCGTTTAGAGGTCGGGGGTCTGGGGGTTAGGACGTGACCAGGAGTCGTTGAATTTGCGCCCTCAAGCGTTCGTATGTGTTCGCGAGTGTTGGGTTCGCAGCTCCAGTGGGGAAAGCGAAAAACGTGCCATTTAGATGACTTGAAGCGTGTCAGTTTTTCGTGCCCCTGTGCAGGAATCGTAGCTCTTAGCATGTCAGACGTAGTTTTGCTGCGCATGCGCAGTGTTTTGGAAGGCTGCGTGTTCTCGTTACTGTGCCAGTGGGATTTGCGATCCAGGGGTGGTCGCTTTGAGGTGTCCTGCTTGGCAGGCGCGCGCAAGTGTTTGCACGAGTGTCATTTTCGTTGGCCCTGTCGTACAATCGGCTCGTTTTGGCGAGCCTGAAACATGCCAAAATTGGTCGAAATCATTCTGGCGCCACAGTCCCGTGCTAGTTTTCGATGCGTGTCGTAAACGTGTCAAAGTTGGATTGCGCGGCAGGTCCAGCAGTTTGGATGATTTTGAGTTTGTGGCAAGCTTGCTTTGCGTGACAGGCGCAACACTTTCGAGCGTTTTGGTTGAATTTCGTGGCAGGCACGGCACTTTGGAGCTTTCCGTGCAAATTTCATGGCAGGCGCAGTGCTTTGGCGCCGGGGTGTAGATTTCGTGGCAGGCACGTCACTTTGACTCAGCGACATCGCTCTTGCTGTGGCGCGGTGCACATTTTGAGAACGCGAAGCGAACCCTCTGCGCACTTTGGGTGGGTCAAATCGCTCTCGCTGTGGCGCGGTGCACATTTTGAGAAAGCGAAGCGAACCCTCTGCGCATTTTGAGCGGGTCCAATCGCTCTCGCTGTGGCGCGGCGCACATTTTGAGCGTGCGAAGCGAACCCTCTGCGAACTTTGGGCGGGTCAAATCGCTCTCGCTGTGGCGCGGTGCGCATGTTGAGCTCACAAAGTGAACCCTCTGCGCACTTTGGGTGGGTCGAGTCGCTCTCGCTGTGGCGCGGTGCGCATTTTGAGATCGCAAAGCGAACCCTCTGCGCACTTTGGGCGGGTCGAATCGATCTCGCTGCGGCGCGGTGCACATGTTGAGATCGCACAGTGAACTCTTTTGGGTGGGCTGAATCGCTTTCGCTGGGTGCGGGGCACATTTTGAGATCGCGAAGCCGTGACGAAACACGAAATGCGGGTAGGGTCGTGGCTAGAGACATGAGACAGACCACGAAAGGCAGGACGGGTTGTGACGCGAGGCGCGTCGAGACACATGATGAGAGATGTGTTGGAAGTGATGACGAGAGACAGGAGCAGAGTTGTTACGACAGACGTCACAAAGCACGTGACCTAAGACGTGACAACAGACGCGACCAGAGGTGTGACGATGGATGTGAGAAGAGGAGGGCAGTGACGAGAGACGTGACGAGAGATGCGACAAGAGACGTGACGAGGATCGTGACGCGAGAGGTTGCCAGAGACGGGACGGCAAATATGACAAGAGACGTGTGAGAAGAGACGTGGCGAGGGTCGTGGCCAGAGACGTGGCAAGGGTCGTGACCAGAGACGTGGCGAGGGTCGTGACCAGAGACGTGACCAAAGACGTGACGCGAGGGGCGACGACGCACGTGACAGGAGACGTCTCCAAGAAAGACGCGATGGGAGACGCTACGTGTCGCGACGAGAGGCGCCTTGAGACACGTGATGAAAGATGCGACGAGGAAAGATTTGACGAAGGCCATGACGAGAGATGTGGCCAGACTTGTTATTAAGAGACCTGCCAAGGGACGTCTAGCTACGTGGCGATAGATGTGACAAGAAACGTTGTTACGTGAGACGCGACAAGGACAAGGAAAAAAGAGAGACGTGACAAGAGACGCTGTTACGAGAAACCTGACAAGGGGCATGACCAGAGACGTGACGCACCAGAGACGTGACTATACACAAAAAAGAGGAATAGCCAGACACTCCACCTGGCGAGGAGACGTGACGAGATTGGACCAGAGACGTGACGAGAGATGTGACAAGAGACGTGGCGCGAGGGCCGACGACTCATGAGTGACAAGAGACGTGACGAGAGTCGCCAAGAAAGACGCGGCGGGAAACGCGACGGAGTCATGACGACAGGCGCGGGGAGACAAGTGATAAAAGACCAGAGACGCGACTTGAGGGGTGACGACTCACATGACAAGAGACATGACGGGAGGCCAAGAAAGACGTGATGGGAGACGTGACAGAGTCGTGACGAGAGGCGCAGCGAGACACATGATGAAAGGTTTGACGAAAGTCATGACGAGAGACGTGGCCAGAGTTGCTACGAGAGACGTGACAATGACGTGACCCGAAGTGACCAGAGACGTGACTATAAAAACGTGACTAGAGACGCGACGCGCGATGTGACAAGAGTCCGCTTT